CCGCTAGTGAATGCGACGACAGGCCACCACCAGCCGTTTTGGACCGCTGGTAATATCCGGGGGCCGCCCCAGACGATGCCTGGCTGTAAGCGCTGTGGTGCTACGAAGCACAGAGATGCCGTGCGACGATCTGGGAGCTGGCTGGCTATCTACAGGACTGTGTGCTGTGGCTGTTGGTACACTTTTCACATTTTTACACTTTTCTGTTCTCATTTCCAGTTTTTTGTTGTCTCTTGGTGGCCCGACTGGTCTGGTGCCGTGCTATCTCACACACTACGTCTTGGACGCCATGCCGCATGCTGTTGCTTGTGCATGTCGATGCAGCTATTCGCAGTCAAGGCCAGCGCGACGCCAATGGGAAGAACATCGTCGTCATGGGCATGCCAACGAGAGAACCCATCATTTCTCAGGGTCGGCACCCCCCCGTTCCCCCTCCTACGTAAATCGTCCCTCATGGGGGGTGGTGTGTATTGTACTGTACTGTACGAGTATGTATTGACAACGATGCGAAGACAAAAGTGACGACGAAGTTTGCCGCGTGCCCTCAAGCTGCCAGATCTCAACTCGTAATATGGTGTCAACTGCTGCCCGTATCAAGGCACGCATCTTTTGCGTTCTTTTTGCCCGTGAAAGAGGCATCCGCGGGATCGATCCACATGACATGACGGCAGTCTGCTGCGTGCCTCCCTTCCCCCCTCAAACCCCGGGTCTGATAAGGGAAATATGTGGAAATGCGACTCCGTGGTGGATCTGCTTTCTAAGATCAACTGCCGGTACTGCCTTTCGAGGAATTTTCTTCACGGGGCTTGAGGGGTGCGAAGATGGTTGTCCATCAACCCACCACTGGCCGTCACTGACACCAGACGTCTGCACAGTAATGTCATCCTGTCGACCAAGTCAAAGAGAAGGGGGGGATGATGATGATGATGATGATGCCGATGATCAATGGAGAGCTCCCCCCCAGAGCGCGGGTGACTAGCTCTAGAGGGGACTAGTGGGGAAGACTACATACGTGTACTGTACTAGCAGTACTAGTCCCATCTAAGCATGCCTGCGTCAAGGCCCCCATACGGAACTCCAATCTCTCCACTCGCCGCTGGAGGTTTTTCCTGCCTAAGGCACCAAGGATCTTGCACTCTCATTTCCCTTTTCTCTCTCCGCAACGGTAGAACATTCCAGGGGCCAGAGAAGATCGCTTGGGCAGCTTCCTAACTGTGGTTTTTGGACCAGATGATATGATACTTAGCGAGACCGGGGATCAGAGCAACTGCTGGCGGGTTTGATGGCGCCTGAGCGGAGAGGGGAGTTGAATTGAATGAAAGAAGCGAATGAATGGCCGCAGGGGGGTGTGTCGCTTCGGGAGATGGTCTTTCCAGTATGTATCGTGTTAGTATTACCTGGTCGGCTGGCGATGGGCGCTGAAGTTTGATTTGATAAAGAGATGTATATGGAGCGACTTGAACGGCAATCCATTCTCTGGAGTCCCTGCCATGTGTCTCATGCCAATTGATGAAGAATATCTGCATGCAGATGGACTCGTCTCTTTCCACGGGTTTCCACGAAAAGAGGCCAATCTACTGGTAAAAGACGAAATTTTCTGGAGTTTTCGCGTCCATCAGACTTAAACGAGGCCACTTCAGAGTACATTAGCACTGTTGCACAACCTCTGTGACATGCATACACACCCGACAATTGGGAGGTTCGTTGACGATTCAGGTAGTGTCGCACAGCATCTGTAACGCAGCGCCCCCCCCCCCCCCCCCCCTTTCTCTGTGTGGTCTGGTTGAGCAGAGAAAAATAGGTGGGCTAGACCGAGTTACAAGGGCTCGGGGGGCCAGTTTACAGCGGCCTTATTACAGAGGGGTCGGCGGTCGCACAGAAGGAGGGGAAAAGGATGGAAAGGCCGGGAGTCGTCGTCGTCGTCCATGGGCTCATTGGCCGCGGCGATCACGACAGAGATGTGGATGAATTCTCATCATTGAGCAATGGGTGCTCTCATCAATATCATCAATTGCGCGAATGCACGGCACTTACTACTCGCTGCATCGGCTGTCAAATCTGATGGATGCTGGACAATCAATGATATGGGTGAGAGTCTTTGTACACGCTCGTACTACAACTCGCCGCCCTGGTAAGAATGAGGCAGAGGCAAGTTGCTATGGTTGGTCCATGGTCTGTCTGCACACAGCTTTGTCCCTGTGACACAGATACAACCTTGAGGGCATCGCCAGCCCGTCACCATACATGCGGTTACAACACTTGGCGGAAAAAGGGGACGAGAATCTGGTTTGTCCTTCTCTGATACGCAGACGCGATCAACCTGGTGCGCATCGAAAAATTTTCCTGCTTTGTCTTTTCTCTTTGTATATCTTACAAATCCCGGCACCCATGCCACGAAGATACAGTATGTATGTCTCCGTAGAGAGCTCCATGTCTGCCCGAGGGGCGAAAAAACAGCCCACCAGCATTGCAAGTTGGCGTCACCTCTGTATTATTGTCGCGATGCACTGTCAATCCGCCCATAAGCGACCGGCATCCGGAAGCCGGCCGATTATCGTTCTTTGTTGCTTTCTTGAGTCACCGTTTGAAACCAAGGCACGGCCGTCCGTGGCATCATCAGGCGGAGGGCTCTAACAAAAAAGTCGAATGTTTGTTTGTCAGTTTCTTGTTCCGGCGCCAAGAGACTGAGCAATAGGTAGGTAATAGCTGGAGACCAAGAAAATTCATCAAAGGTTAGTAGTATGAAGTATGAAGCGAGCTGAGCCTATCCCATTTTCCCCTCTGCTGGAGCTATGTGTGGTGCCCGGAAATCGCCTGCGCAATTGCGTCTTGATGGGCGGCCGCTACGGCTATCGCGAACAAACTTTTCTTCCCTGCGGATGACAGCTCAAGATTGAAATCCTTTTTTTTTTTTTTAAATCAGCTTTTGCGCTGGGCTGATGGCGGGCCCGAGTATGTAGAACAGCAAGCACCCCCCCGAAAAAAAAGTGCCACTATTCCAGCGCCGGCAACGGACCTGCCCGGCCGCCTAAAGCTGGGGCTTGGCTGATCAAAGTTTTTGGACTCATGATTAGTCTGACAGCCCTCATGAAATCTCTGCCCTTCATGGCGACATTTCTGGGCAGATTTTCGAGGGTTCAGGTCTTGGCTAGTACGAGTACAGCACGATAATGCAGGACAAGCCGACAAGCCACATCCCAAAGGGCTGTGCACAACAGCACAACAACCTCACGAACAGCAGCCAGAAGGAAAAAAAAAAAAAAGTTCGAACAAGGCAAGCCACCATCCCAAGGGTTCAATTTTCCACTTTGCAAACTCGCTCGCTCGCACACCACCACCACGCCCACCCCCCAAACAGGGCATGGCATTGACGTCGAGTTCATTTGGGGCAGAGGCGCTATTATCTGGCCATCTTGCTGCAGGGCATGAGACCCCAAGCAATTTTCCTTGACGCCCTCTTCAGGTTCATCCATGGACCGTGATGGCCTGGCCTGGCCTGGCCTGGGCATCCGCATCCTCGCACGCCCCCTGGACGCTGCTCTGCAATATCCAGTCATTCTCAAACCATTTGCGGCCCACGCCCCCCTGTTGCCTGCCTGCCTGTAATCAATTGTACTGTCTGTCGCTGTCGCACGCACTGCGACGAAGCAAGCCTGGATGCGACGCTGCAAGGCTCCTGAGCGTCCAAATGCACAGCAGTTTTGCTGCTGCGTACATAGAGTACAACTGCGAGTATGATGCGAGTGCGACTCTGCCCGCAGTGCGACCTCGAGGAATTCCTTGTACAATACATTCAAGGAATGAGGCCCTGCCAGGAAAGCAAAACGTCAAAGTCGCACTAATACCGCGTTGATCTGCCCATGCGTGGGCTCATGGCTGAGGTCCTCGTACGTAAGAGGCCGCTGCCGTCCCCAAAGCACAGCCTTGGAGGTTGCAGCGCGCAGAAAACGGAGGCGGTACGGTACGTCCAGACCAAGTCTCTCGTGCACGCAGCGGTGCAGGGAAAACGTCCTCGCGGCAAGGTACCCTTATTGCCCTCCTCCCAATGGCATGGCCCAGGCAGGTACCAGCGCCCATGCAGCCCGCTAGCAGTGTCAAAACGGTGGCCATCCATCCCTCGCCGTTTCTCTGCCTCTGCCTCTGCTGCACTTTGAGCCTAGCAGAAGAAGGAGGGGAGGGGGGAGGGTGTGTGTGCAAGGATGGACAAGAGACGGCGGCCTGAGGCAGCGAGCGTCGAAAGGGTACAGGCTCGTCTGGTATCTTGCGCACAAGAAGGCGCTCGGGCCTCGCAGCAAGCAGCACCTTCAGTTCTCGCAGCTTTGAAATTCTCTTGCTGCTGGGGTGGAGCCCTGAGCTTGGCCAGACGCTGGGGTAGCACTAGCGGGGGCTCCACTGTGCTTGAGGCCAGCCTGGAGGTACCCTCGTACCTGCTGCCGAGTGGAGCCGGTACGCCGTCGCAGGTACTGGCGTTCTCCGCCCTTTCTCCACCTGCACCTGCCCACTCCTCTGCCCACACCACACACCACCAGACGCACCAACCACACACCACCTGGGCTGCACCTGCCCACCTGCCCACACCACCCTTCCGTCCACACCATTTTTCCATTCTGCACACCACTGGCCCTCCAACAAGCCCAGCGTCGCACTCGAGCATTTCCCAGCACAAGTACATATGCATCCCGCTGCCCTCGCCTCAATCGCATCTCGTCTCCTCTTGCTTCTGCTTCCTATCCAACCTCAGCTACCATCTTCTCTTCTACCAAGACCTCCTGTCCTCTCTCCTTCAAGGCATCACGAAGGCTCAACCTCTTTATTATACCACTATAATAACCCACCTTGGCCCTTCGCCCACTTTCTGCTCTCGGCCTCTGCCTCTCTTGACTCACCACCACAAACACACAACTTAACAACCGCCTCTGTTGTACACCAACAAGCAAGCAACTTTCAACTCGAACCTTTTACTCCTCCTCCTCTCTTTTCACAATCAAATCACCGCTACAATGGCCCTCGACATGTGGACCCACGAGTTCTGCCTCGCCTGCGACCGACAAGTCCAGGTCGACGGCGACGCCTACTGCTCCGAAGCGTGCAGAATGGCCGACTTCGAAAAGACCCCCTCTACACCCAGCTCGCAGGCCAGCTCGCCCGGCTTCTCTCCAGTCTGCTACGCCTCCTCAGGCAGCCTCTCCAGCCGACCTGCGCCCACCAAGTTCTACCTGCCTCCCGCCTACGACTTCAATCGAGCCCAGCCCTACGGCTCAACACCTCGGACGTCTGCTTCCTTCAGCGGCTACACCTCCGACATGTCGCCCGCGTCGACACACCGGGGCCTGACGCCCTCGAGCTCACACAGCAGCCTCTGCTCTATGCAGAGCGTGTCCTCCACCGCCGAGTCCAGCCAGCTGTCAGACAAGGCACGCAAGGAGCTGCGAGCATACGCCGTTTCCTTTGAGCAGGTCAGACTGCAGCGCCGGCGATCATACTAAGCAACCACGCATGCCTCCCACGCACGAACACATACACACACACTCTACACTCTACATCACTCTACCGCTACGCAACTCCAACCCCCCCAATCAACACACAATATGACCTGATACGAAACCACCTTACCACTTCTTGCTACATCGCTCTTGTCTTACACATACTTTTATCTTTTCTTTTTTGTTTCCTTGTTCTGTATCAAGACGGACATTACACGGAGCACCGCATACCCCCAAAAGCACTTTTTTGCCTCTTTTGGATTTAGTTAATCGAGGGCACTGTCTTCTACACTCACCTCTTTCTTTTGTCAATGGAGTTTCTTTTATCACGGAATGGTTGGACTCAATGGACCCCGCCTTGGGCGTCTTGTATACCACAACTCACACAAACAAAGATTGGGCGGAGACTTGATATTAAACTGTTTATTATTAGCATGGCACAAAGGGAAACACATTTGGGTGCTGGCGGGAAACACATTATGATATTTGGGACATGATCAGCGGCGCAGACCAAGACTTGGGAATCAAAGCAAAGAATGATGGCGCAGACAAAGGCAGTCGGCGAGCTGCAAAGCCGCCTAGCCTATGGAATTTACCTTTTGGGGGGAAAAAAAGAGCCGAAAGGACCAAGGGGAAGGGGATCCCAAAAAACGCGGTGATAGGACTGGGAATTGGATAGCTATCGAAGCTGAGAAGCTTTTTTGCATCGCAATGAATAGAATACACTGTCTCAGACTTGGTCAAAAAAACTCTCGCAACTTGTCTCGCCTGTGATGCCATTGGTCTGGGAGATTGGGCAGCGGTCGAAGGCGTGCTCCAGTGTAGTGGCGATTTGGCGGCGCGGGTGATGGTGGTGACGATGATGCTGATGGTGCTGAGTGAGCAGCGACATCGGATTGACGACGCATACCGTGGACGCTCAGACGGATGATGCCCAATCTCGGGATACGAACTACATGGAACATTGCAGCCCTTTTTTTTCTTTGTTACTCGGCAGATGCGATTACGCACATTGTGCTGTATAACAGTGGTATATTCCGTATAGACTACATGTTGCCGAGTGAGGCAGAGTAAGTTCCTGAAGCAATGTAACTGGAAGTTGTATCACTTGAGGTTCACTGCTTGTAAGGCACCTATGCGAGGAGGAGGAGGACCCTCGACCAGAGAGAGAGAGAATGCCCAATGCAACTTGCAGCATCGCAATCTTTGCACTTTGCCGTCCAAGACTTCCTTACATTGTGGGTTTTTTCCGATTGCGTACCAAATGCGCGATGCTCAGCAGCAAGACAAAAAAAAAAAAAAGAAAGCAAAAGCAAATGCAAATGCAGAGGCCATGCAATGCAAGGCGAGGCGAGGCTCGGAGCAATCGGCTTAAAGGAAGAACACACGCACACACACAAATTGTGACAAGCGAACGCAAGGGAGAGACTTTTGAGCCGATGAGCGGTGATGGGGAGAGAGAGAGAGAGCCTACGGTAGCCGTGCCTGACCGAGTGGGGGAGACATGAGATGGTGGGAGCTTCAATTCAAAGGGAGGGGGGCAAAAAAAAAAAAAAAAAAAAAGGATGGCTTTGTGATACTAGTATGAGCTTTTCTTTTGGTGTGAGGTTCGTTGGGTAGTTGGTGTTGCGCGAAAGGGAAGCTAGGAAATGTGCCTGAATGGAGTGGCGAATTGGTTAATTAAAAACAGGCCATGGCCTCTACCACTACCTACTAGATGATAGCAAGGGAAAGGGAAGAAGAGGAAAAACGCTTCGTCTGAGTGACGAGACACCAGAGAATCTTGCTTTGGGGGTGGTTTGTTTCCCTGCCCCCTTGTAATTTCACGATAGTGGCATAAAAAATTCTTCCAATGTGTGTTTGTGTGTGTGTGTTTGTGTGTCTTTGTTAGGGGGGGTTAATTGGCTTTGAGCCTTTGATTCGATGTACAGACTGGGATGCTATTCGATAGCTCAGTTGTAGGCAAGTTGTTTCTTGTCTCAGGCTGCGGAGGTAGCCGATGCATGTTATTCGATAGGTAGGTAATAAGGCGGCATCGTCAGACGGACGGGCTGCCTTGACCTGAGAATTTCTCTCAGCTTGCCTTGTTTCTCTCCTCTCCCCCCCCCTTGTTGAAAAATTCTTCAGTCACTTTGCCCTACCCCTGGGATTTTGTCTATTGTTTTTGTTTCTATTTTGGAAGAGATAGAGAAAATAAGACATTTGAATCCTGCCGTACGGGGGCGCTGAGGCGAGGTTTCTGCTGCCTTGTGGTTCCCTTGTGAGGCTGCGGCCCAAACGGGGGAGGAAGGATATGGGGCTGGTGTTACATGGATTTTTGAGGTGGTCCTTGTACATATGACTTGTAAGACTCGTACGTTTCTTTGCTAGGGAGTTCATGTGCAATTATGTGTCAAGATGTCAATGCGTCGTCGCATCGAGATGCTTGTCTTGTTATGGGGATGAAACAAATCAACAGGACGTAGCATCGGGACGAGGTACATTTTACTGGTGCTACCTAGTAGTGCTGTATGTATGTGTGTACAAAGTACAAATAGGTAGGCAGCAAGGTGGACTTCACATGTTGTGATGTTCATTCTGGATGCCTTGCTGGGAAGCTGATAAGGGTTTGAGCTGCCTTTTTCAACAGGGGTTCGGGTACGTATACATGGGAGGGCTGTGAGATGTGGTGAACTGTAACAATGATTTGCTGCCAAGATGGAATCGCAAAGAATAGACACTTGGGAGATTTCGTCAGAAGGGATGAAAAGAGAAAGAAAAAAAAAAATCTGCATCTGCAGGACGAGGAAAGCAATTGCCTCTGATTTGTCCAATCTCAGATCAACCCTCGAAAATCTGCCAACTCATCGGCCCACAATAGAGATGTTTTTTCCCCCCCCTTCTTCTCTCTGACGATGCTTCACTTGTCATGTATGTATGTATGTACACGCACGCACGCACGCACATGCAGAAAGTGTTTTTTTTTCCCTCTTCTTTTGACGACACACCCCCCGGAAAGACATTTCATGGATGAGGCATTCGCCGGCTGGCCGGGAAGTGGACACTCGGAAGGGGGGATCCGGAACGTGAAGGGGGGGGGGGAATAAAAGACGAGAGCCGAGTTTGCTGGGATGCTGCTGCATGAGGTTGATGTTCAATCGGGAACGTGTTGGGCATTACCATCTGCTCCATGGACACGGCTGTTAGTCTAAGTGGCTGTATGTAGTAGTATGCATGTTTACTGTACGGAGTTGCGGGTAGCAGAGGTTCAGTTCGGAGTGGATGAACAAGCAAGCAAGCAAGCAAGCACACGTGCGTGCCATCTCGCCGTCTGTATGGCATCGAATTGACTACTATTACATAGTAGTACCTACCTACTGAAAACAACTACTAGAGCAATAAAGCTACCTTGATGGCATCGACTCCATAGGACTACTTCCATCTCAACTTAAACTTGAGTTTCGCCTCCCAGTCTCTGGGGCAGCGGAGCGACGATGTGGGCTTCGCGGCCTGTTAGTCAGAGGACAAGCAATAAAAAAATCCTGGAGAGAGCTTCAATTCTTCATTTTTGCAGAGGAGAGTTTGCCGCGCTATTCCCAGTCGGAACTAGGGCTGGGCTGAACTGGGCTGACTGGCACTAGCGGCATCGCGGGATCTCGATCTAATACATATGCGGACTTGGTCGAATGGGGGAAGACGATTGGTTGTAGTAGTAGGTAGTATGTAGATTGTACCAAAGTAATCTGATGTGAGACCGAATCGTGTTAAGAAGAGGCGAGAATTTGCATCAAAACCATCGTATTGCTGTCTATGCATTATCGTATGCGCTTCTTCTCTTCGCTTTGAAAAGGGGTGTGTGTATGTGTGCCCCTTTTCCCTCTCTTTTGCCTTCCGGTGACATTCTTCAGTGGTGATGATCCAGGGGGGTGTTCACGATACTAGGTAGGAAGAGGCACTGACTCTGTGTACGCGAGCGAGCGAGCGAGCGTTGTCTTGGAGTTGGGCGACGGCCTGCAATAGTACGAGTACTACGTCCGCATCCTCAGCTTGTCTCGTCCAGTGCTGTCTTGTCTTTTTCGATCTTGGATGGCAATCGAACGAATAGAAGGCCTTCTGCTGCCGCAGTGTGCGCATAGGTCCCAAGGTATTATTAGCACAAAGCCTCCTGAGATGCCACCTCATCACACACTTGCACTAATCCGTCCTTCCATGATGCCTTCACTTCCCCTTTTTGTCGTCTTAGCAAGCAAATAGGCATTCTCCTATTCTCCGCCGTAAGAAAAAGAAACAAGCACTCCCATCATTCCCGTCATGAGCCGTCAAGCCTTTTTCTGCGCGCCCCCCTTGCCCGGTGCCCTGTACTCGGGTCCAAGCTAAGAAATAGAAGAAGAAAAAAAAAAACAAGCCATAATTCCAATCTAGCAACCAACAGCCCTACAATACGATCATAGCCCAACCCGCCGAAAATATTACTCCGTCATGGATTTCCCGTTGGCTTTTGGGCTTTTCTGTCGAATACACAGCAGGGAGGAAAACTTGTCTGTTGCTAGGCCAAAAGTTGTCCTCCACCAACAACAGATTTCCCGTCAATGGCATTTAGCCAGCAAATCACGTCCAGTGGGCGTCTTCTACCGGCGCCGCCTCTGCCGCCTCTTGGGTCCGGCTGTCGCTAGATGAGACGGGACAGCTTAGAGGAGGAGCTTGTACATAGAGACGGGCTGCTGGTGGTGGCGAAACCCCCCCCCATGGAGCTGGGGAGGGAAAGATGAGAAGCCCCAACCGATTCGTGACGAGCTTGACGAGCTACTATGAACAACAATCGCAGCAGTAATAGCAGAGACTACCGTAAGTGTAAGAGCTACAAAGGAAGAAACACAAGGCACCGTAATCCGTCGTCGTATCAAACGACTTTACGGCTCTCACACCTCCGTCATGCCTCATACAATCATTGATCCGGCAATCAACTGCATAACTTGTATCATCCTATCTCCCCCCCCTTTCCGCATCTTCCTCTTCCATTCCTC